ACTCACCATGTTGTCATTCCTCAAGTCCTGAAGGTCCCAGCCAGTCCATCTTCTTTCCTGCTTTCAGAGTCCTTTCATCATTGTCAGTTGCATAATTTCTGGGTATATAGTTGTATTTGTAGGAAAGGGGTAGGGAAAAAGGAGTCTATATCACCTTGTTCTAGAACTGGAAGTCCCCTAGTATAGTTTTGATGTTTTAAAACCATTTTAATTTCTTTTTCTATAGTTCATTTTGATATTATTTGTTGATATTATTTGTCCATTTTTATACTGGGCTGGTGGTCTTTGATGTATTGATTTGGAAGAGCTGTTTTCATATTCACTATGAGTTGCAGATATTTTTCCCAGCTTATTGTTTATTTTTTGATTTTCACTGTGTTATGGCATTTTTTTTTTGCCATGCAGTTTCTTTTTATGGAGTTAAATATATCAATCTCTTCCATAGCTTCTGGGTTTTGTGTCGTTCTCAGAAAGGCCTCATCATTTCAAGATTTTATTTTGAAATCTCCTCATATTTTCTTCTAGTACTTTCATGATTTCTTTTTTTGTTTTTTGGGGTTTTTTTTTTTTTGCAGAGGAAGGTTTGCCCTGAGCTAACATCTGTTGCCAATCTTCCTCTTTTTTTTTTTTTTTTGTATGTGAGCCACCACCACAGCATGGCCGCTGACAGACAAGTTCTGTAGGTCTGCACCCAGGAACCGAACCTGGGTTGCTGAAGCAGAATGTGCCAAACTTAACGACTAGGTCACTGGAGTTGGCCTCGGTTTCATTTTTTTTTTTTTAAGATTTTATTTTTTCCTTTTCCTCCCCAAAGCCCCCCGGTACATAGTTGTATATTTCAGTTGTGGGTCCTTCTAGCTGTGGCATGTGGGACACTGCCTCAGCATGGCCTGATGAGCGGTGCCATGTCTGCACCCAGGATCCGAACCAGCGAGACCCAGGGCTGCCACAGTGGAGTGTGAGAACTTAACCATTCGGCCACGGGGCTGGCCCCCATGGTTTCATTTTTTATTTTTAAATCTTTAGTCCATCTGGAATTCATTTTGGTGTAAAGTGTGAGGTAGTATATCCAGTTGTCCCAAAGCATTTCTTGAATTCTCCATCATTTCTTCTCTGCTTTGAAATGCTAGTTTAAAAAAATTTGTGGTAAAAAGTACATAACATAAAATATACCATCTTAATCATTTTTAAGTGTACAGGTCAGTAGTGTGAAGTTGTTTACATTGTTGTGCAACAGGTTTCTAGAACTTTGTTACCTTGCAAAAGTGAAATGCTGTGCTCATTGAACAACAACTCTCCATTGAAATGCTACATTTTCATCATAGACTAATTTCTTAGTTGCTTCTTGCCTGGACCACTATAACAGCTTTCTAGCACCACCGTATTACTAATCTGTCATGCACACAGTAGCCTGACTCATTTTCCTCATGTAAACTCTGCCCACAACACTCCTTTATTCCAAACCTTCAGAAGCCCTCCCTGGTACTGCAACTGAAATGAAGCCCCCATTACAGTCTTTCCTAGCACCCGCCCCTTTTCCTCCTGTCACTCCTCATGATTTGTAATTTTAGTTATCTGCGTGATTGACTATTTTCTATCTCCTTGCTAAACTTCAAGTTTCATGAGAGCAATGGCAACGTGCTCACCACATATTCCCAGTGCTTACCCACGCGCCTGGCACATAGCAGATGCTCAGTGCATGTTTGTGGAATGATAGGTTCCCTCTTGCCTGTGGGACAAAGTAGAAACAACAGCAAGATCTGATTGGCACTTACCTTCTCTCAGCCCTCTTGTCCTTCAGGGAAGACAAGCTGCTTGACTTTCTGCCCTTCCTTGGAAAAGCCACAGGCTTTCTAACACTTGGTTCTGGTTTATACCATGCTCTGATTTTATCTTTTTATTTGTGCTCCAATTGCTCCCTGAAGGCCATGCCCTCCCCTCAGCTCCCCGCCAGCATTGCTGCCTTAGGGAAATCCAATTCATACTTCAAGATTGTGGCCGTCTCCACCACTGGACTGTGAGTTCCTGGAGAGCTGGGACAGGGTCCCCATAATTTGTCCCTAGGGAGCAGAACAGCTCCTGGTTCTCAGGAGGTGCTCTTGGTTACATAGCATCATCTGCTCCCAGGCTGTAAACTCCTTGCAGGTAGGCAGTGTTCCTTACCTGTGTACTTCTGGGAACCTTGCTTCCTAGCCCCTAGGACCTATCCCAGGCAAAGACTTGGAGTTGGCCCCAGGAATCTTCTGGCAACCTAATGAACGTGTCTGGTTGTACTATGAGAGGCCTGAACATGAAATTGTGGGGCAGGGGTGGAGGCTTCCCTGCCTGCCCCCCATCGTGCCCTGTGACCTTCCTTTGCTCCCGCCCTCTAACAATTAGAGCCCCACGCCCTGCCCCTCCTCACCCAAGCAGAGCCCTGGCTCTCTCTGGAGGATGCTCCCTGCTTCCCTCTCCTTCCAAGCCCTCTGCAGAGGAGGCTGCTTAGTTGGCCACACTTCTGGCCCCTGGCACCAGGAGGCAGGGTTGCCATGCCCAAACTCCTGCTCTCCCTCCTCACTCAGAAGCACCTTCTCTAGGGATGCTCAGGCCATTCCCCACCACCATCTGCTTCCCAGCAGCACCCCTGTCACCTGCATGATTCCAAGGCAGCCCCTCCCCCTCACAGAGGCACTAGCCCCTGGCTTGGGCTTCTCACTAGCCCAAGGGCTGCTGGCATCCTGGGGGCTCCAGAGCTCACAGAGGTCAGGAGCGGCAAGCTGGGGACCAGGTGCCAAATTCAGCCTGCTGACCTGTTTTGTTTGGCCGGAATTGTGTTTTGTAAAGGCCCCAGCAGGGGAGGGACCCGGAAACCCTCCAGCCTTTTAGGGGCTAGGCTCCTTCTACATCCTGCCACTCTGCTTTAGACCCCGTTCCTGAGCCCACCCTGGCCCTGTGTCACTAGAGCTGTCCAGATTCTGAAATCCACCAGCCGAGCACAGCTTCCCTCCTTCCCCTCCACTTCCTGCCTCCCCCAGTCCTGTTCTATTCTCTGCACACAGACCTCCAGGCCCTCGAGCCCTCCCTGTTCTCCCCACCTCTCCCAGGCTTCTGTTCTTCCCTCTTTGTTTTCCTACCCCTGCCTCACCAGCCCCCACAGAACCCCATGTCTCCCCATTTGCAGCATTAGATGAATCTAACCATCCATCTTGCGTGGGATCATCCTAAAAATCAAAGCCGGTTAATTCTTTGCTTACAAACTTCCAGAGGTTCTTCACAAGCCAAAGGTCTGGCGGTACTAAGGCTACAGGCGTGCTCCCCACCTGGCCTTGAAGGCCCTGTGTGCTCTGCCTCTTGCAAACTTCTTCCGTGTCGTCTCCTCCCATACCCCCTCCAGCCCTATGACCCTGCATGCCGAACTTCTTTAGCTGCCTCGGCCCCCTTCAGGAACTTGCCCCTGCGTAACAGCTTTTCCATCTCACTCATTCTTTCCTTGGCTGACTCTAGTCTTATTTTGAAACAACTGTTTCTATGGGTAGATACATCTTCGTGTAAAGGCACAGAGCAAGGCCAGCAAGGATACACCACAAATGGATAAACAGCTGCTACCTCTGTGGAGAGCAAGAGGTGATCAGGCTTGAGGGAGCAGGGCAAAGAGTACTTTAGTCTCATCTACAAAGTTTGTACTTTTCACAAGGAGATTGTGTCATGTGTTTATTACTTGTGAGAGACAAAAACAAACAAATGGACCAGTTTAATACCTGGAAGCCTTCCCAACTTCCCAGGCAGATGGAGCTGTTTCCTTTACTGGGATAGAATAACATCTTCCCCCTGCTATAGCAAATAGTGTTTCATTGTAACTTGTTGGTGCCTTTTTCCTTATAGATGAGGAACTCCCTCAAAGGTACAAACTTTATCTAACTCATGCCCCCAGTGCCTGGCCCAGAGCAGGTGTTCAGGGAGTGCTGAATCGACCGCATTGCCTCTGCCAGGGGGCTCCTTCCAAGGCGCTTGCTATGGGACAGGCCTGATGCTGGTCCTGAGAAGTTTAGTTTTCACAATGTCCAAGGAAGAAGGTCTCTAGAAGTCTGAAATGTGGGCAGAGGCGTCTCCAGGCCCTTGGGTTGTCAACATGAGGACAGGGCTGGGTTGGGGGCCCTCTCAAGGCCAAGATTCAATTCAGTGCTGCTGTCTTGTCACTTGGCATGCTCCTGAAGCCACTGCCTCTTCAGCAGTTAATCCAAGGGCAAAGGCTATAGCCCCAAAAGTTGAACTTGTCAAGCCCAGCCCTGATCTGTATCTCTACGTTGGAGAGGCCAGCCCAAAGAAACAGGCTATCCCCATAGAGAGTGGGCCAGGGAGGCCAGAGTTAGGGGACACAAGCCCACTCAGAGTGTACCAGGCTTGGAGGGAGGGGTTGAGCAACTATCTGAGGGACTTGAAGAAGGCACCTAGAATCTCAGTTTAATGGTGGGAGTCTATAGCTTTTGCAATTTTCCAGAGAAATCTGAGCTCCCATGTCCTAGGACCCTTCTTAGGTCCTTTCTATTGCCCATAGGCAAAAGGGCACAGATGTGGCCTTAATGAGTCAATTGGACTGGGGCTAGAGAGTGGGTGGGGGTGGCTTTCAGAACTGGTGAAGTGTGTGCCACATGGCCAGGGCAACCCCTTAGACTTGGATGTGCATGTGGCGAGGAGGCTGCAGAAGGGGCTGGATCAGTCTGTCTTCCGGGAATGCCCCCAGGCAGCCCGTGTGTTCAACCTGGCATAGGTTCCTGGGGTCTGAAGGCAATGCAGCTAGGTGCTTGGGCTCCTGAAGAGATAATAGCAGTGGCAGTGGTAGGAATTTGGTGCACAGTCCCCTCCAGTCCTTCCCATTCCTCCCATCACACCCAGCTCCCTCTCAGCTAGCCCCCCACAACACCCCCATGGGCCTCAGAACTGCTAAACGGATGTCAGATGACGGATGTCAGATCACGCTGTACACCTTTCGACCTCAATGAAAAACATCTCTAGTCGGCCCATCTCTTTGTAAGTAACTTTTATTTTTATTTACAACAGAATTGGTGGCTTTATTCCTCCATCTTTAAGGGACTGTTGGCATCAGCAGCCAGATGGAAAGTCCGCAGTGAAGTCAAACTCATTCTGCCCCAGCCACAGCTCCGGAAGCTCATTGGCTCGGTCCAGTCCCAGCTCTACCACCAGCGACATCAGCACCTCCTCATCCACCGGGTCTGAATCGATGATAGCAGGGCTCTGGGCACCGGTAGAAGGAGAGAGTGACCCCGCCCCTCCCACCTGAGCCCCAAAGCCCCAGTTTTGCAGTGGCCCTGCCTCCCCGGGTTGGCCTGGAGTGGCGGCGGCCATCCCATGATACTGGCTGTTAAGCTTCTGCAGCTGCATACTGGCCAGCAGGTGAGGGGCGGGGTGCAGGTTGAAGGGTGGGGGTTTAGTGGGAGGGGTGGCAGTAGGAGAGCCTATTGGAGATGGAGATCCCGAGGAACTAGTGGGAGCCCCACTGGCCTTGGTTCCATTCGAGGCTACCCCGGGGTAGTGCAGGATGGCCACTGCTTTGCGATCTTTCACCCCCAGGTTAGAGTAGGCCAGAGAGCTCATCTCTTGGTTGGCATCCTAGAAGACAGAGAAAGACACAGCATAGTACCCCTGCTCCTGGCTTGTCCCTCTCCCTTCATCAGGCCCAGAAAGCTCCTACATGCGCCCTCATTTGGGGCTAATGGTGGGGAGGGCAGCAAGAACGCCCCTGGAAAGTTAGGCTCCCAGCTGGAGTATCCTTTTGCTGCCATGGCTCTGAGCCCTGAGCTCAGACCCGCCATCCTAAGTGGGTTCGCTGCCCTCATCTCCCTCCCACGACCCTCTCTTCACCTCACCATTCAAAAAAGGGCATTTCCTTGTCCCTTTTCTCAGCCTCACTTTAACCTTTTCCATGGAGTGGTCTTGTTCCAATTCTGCTTCTCTGCCCCCTTCCCTGCCATTTTTCAACACCCCTAGTGGTTCGATTTGAGCACATTTAGGCAGAAGCTCTTCTCATTCTCCTCAGAGAAAGACCTGCCGTCTCCTCTCTGCTAAAGGACACTAGATACCACCCCGAGGAAGGCCTGCCACATGGCCGCAGACCAGTTCGTCTTTCCACGCTTCAGTGTCTCCATCTGTAAAACAGCAAAAGTTACCTCCTTCACAGGTGAGGTGCCACCCTTGACATCGAGTGCAGGCCTTGACATAGTTGGCATTTCAGAGCCTTGGCAGAAGTTGGATAAACTGATGGGAGGTGATGCTGCCAGCTGGAGCTGTCGCGCTGTATGTGAGGGAGAAGAGGTAATAAGGCAAATGCTTCATTGACCAAGAAAGCCCCATCGAGCCCGAAGCAGGGCAACTCCACACAGCTACAAGGCAAGGACCGTGACAGGGTTAGACTCAACACCAGACGCCACCTGAGCAGACGGGGAGCTCAAGCCAGAACTTTTGCCTGAGGCAGGAAAGGTGCTTGATTCGGCCAGGTGCTGCCCAGGCAGCCAGCTACCCACATCACCAAGAGGGGACACACGTGACTGCTTCCTCATGCAAGTGATTTCAGAGCCCAAGTGGAGGGGGGGTGGCACTGTTCCTGATTCTGAGAGCAGGTATGGCCCTGAATAAGCAGCGCACTTGTCTCAACGGACCACAGACATGCGGGCTGGAGAGCTGGGGCCTCCACTGGACTGGGAGAAAAGTGGGAAGCAGTCAGGGCAAGGAAGACCTAGAAAGCTAGATGCTGCAACCCAGCGAAGGAATCAGTCCCCAAAGCAAATGTCATGGGGCTCCAAAGCCCTGCCTTGGGCATGGGTGTGAGAGAAGCTGATCAGGGTGGTTTGGGCGCTCTGAGGCAGCCAGAGAGCAGCTAGGGATGTCTCAACTTCCTCCGTGCCTCAAGCCACCTCCAAGTGAGCGCCGGCAGCACTGGGCTTTCCCAGGACACCTGTTGAGCCCAGCCACATCCATTTGTAGAGACAGGTGGGAATAATTCTTCCTGGGGGGAAACTGAGGCACAGAAACTCAATGGCTTTCTCATCAGGTAGCAGTGGTTCTGGGAGCAGGATCTAGCACTCCTATGCCCACACACCTCACCTGCCCGCTGGCCAAATCATCATGCCTGGAATGATTCAGATGGCTCCTGAGGAAATGATTCCCTAGCTCAAGTGCCAAAGGATAAGGGGAAGAGGAGAGGAGAACCCCCCAAACCAGAAAATAAGAAATCTCTGAAAACTCTCAAGTTATTTTCCTAGAAGCTTTTTTTTTTTTTAAAGCCCTACACAGTCTAGCCTTCATGATGAATTCGAGATGTAGAATTTCATATTTAAAAATGCCTGTTGGCCCAAAGAATCTTCAGGACCTTAAAGAGTCTCTAGTCTTTCCAGCAAGGCTAGAATTCTCCCCGACACCTCCCTCCCCCCATGTGGTCGTTAAGAATCTGCTCAGACACTTCCAGAAAGTGGCCACTTAACTACCTCTCTTTATCATCTTTGCACCACTTCCTTGTAGGGGAGGGAGGCAAGAAAAACAGAGAAAGGAAGAACGGGGGTAAAAAAAGAAAACATGAGGAAAAAAATCAATTGCTGGGTTGCCACCACTGCTTGATTTGAGCCCTGTTTCTTCTCTGAGAATATTTCAAGCCAGTGATGACAAGATAAGGAGTCTAAGCCATGTCGTCTGTGTCCAAGAGCCCAGCACCTTCAGGATCAAGCAATTTTCATATCCTAAGAAAAATGCCGGGGCGGGGGGGGGGGGCTGCCTATCTTTTCCTGTTTGTATCCAGCCTTCTTTATGCTCCATGGGTACCCGAATGTACAAAAGAAAAAACAGCAGCAGCAATCACAATAACAAAAAGGAACAGAAGGGGGGGCGGGGGGGGGGATAGAGAAAACAAGAAAAAAGTATCTCTGTTCTGATATCAGTTCTTGGGGAAGACCATTTTATCATGTCTCCCCCTTCAGGCTGGGAGCTCCCCTAGGCGGGACCCTGTTTCCATTCAGATCTGTCGCCTCCCATCACTGCCGTCCCCCCAACTCCCGCCCGCCCCGACCCCTGGCCTGGGTCTGTGCTCCGTAGGCGCTCAGTAAGTGTTGTTAAATCTATCTGAAGAGGCAATCGAATTTTGAACGGAATCCCTGCCCCTGCATCCCCGATTTTCTGTCCCCACTCTGCCACCCAGCCCATTCAAAGGCAAAACTTGGCAGCGCAGAAATGTCCCAGCCCGCTCTCCAAGCCGCGAGCTGACCACTGCGAAACGGCTGCCAGAGGCGGCTGGGCAACCTGGAGCAACAAGTGCCTCCTCGCCCGCTGGTGCCTCTCGGCCCCGGGAACTGGGTCCCCGTCCCGCCGCCCGCCCTTCGCCCTTCGCTTCAGACCTCCCAGTGGGCCGGCAGCCCCCTCCCGCCTAGATGGGGGTGGGGAGGGGAGAGGAAGAAGAGAGAAGGGAGAGGCAGGTAGGGGGGCCGCGTCTTTGACCTGTTGGGGGACCAAAAGTTAAAATGGCACCAACCGGATGGCTCCATCTCGATTGCTATTTTCTCACTCAGAAGGAGAAATTTAAAAATCCAAACAGTACTGCGGCTTGGCTTGGACGCGCTCTAACCAGACCAGTCAGTTTCGCCACCTGAAAACTAAAGGCCCGTTGTTTGCGGACAGCTCGGCTGCCCTCCTTGCCGCATCCCAGGTGGAGCCGCCGGAGCTGGGTGCAGCAGGGAGCATCCCTGCACGGTGGGCGCGAGCACCCAGGCCAGCAGGGCCCCGAGCGTCCGTTCCCGCAAGTGCTGCATCAAGAGCCGATCGTAGAGACGGGATGGGCAGGCGGGGAGGGGCGCGGGGTCTCGGCCTCCGCGGCGAGTTTGGGGCCCCGCGGTGTTTCCGCGCGCGAGGGCGCACTCCGGCGCCGGCGGCGGCCACTCCCGCGCCTCACCAACACTTACTGAGCGCCCGCGGAGCAGCCGACGCGGCCGCAGGCTGAGCCTACCCCCTAGCCAAGCCGCCTGTGGTCAGTGCTATCACCCCGCTGCGAGAAGAGAGAGGCTCGGAGAGGTTCGGTAACTTGCCCAAGGTCACAGCGCTAGAAAGTGGCGGAGCCGGGATTCGCAGCCAGGTCTGTCTGACTCCAAGTCCGGCGCTCCGCGAGGCTGGGACTCCGTGCGCTGCCCGGCCCCGCTGCCCTCGTTTATAGGGAGAGGGGTGTGTGCGTGGGTGTGCGCGTGTGTGTGGGCGTGCGAGTGGGGGAGAGCAAAGGTCGATTGGGTAGCAGAGGCAAGTTGCCCAAATTCGCTAACTTCCATCCCGCAATTCCGCTGAACTCGGCCCGAAAAGCCCCTCTCGCCTCCAGCCCCCGAAGGAAACCTGAGCTTTGTGCAGCCCCGGAGCCGGAGCGTCCAGATGCGGTCCGGGCGATTAGCAAAGTCGGTGGAAGCCAAGCTGGAGAAAGCGCGGGCGCGGGGAGAAAAGGTGCTGCCTGCCGTCTCCCCGGGAGAAGCGGGCGCTTGGCCCGGCTGGCCGGCAGGCGGGCGCGCTGGCGAGCGAACCGGCTCGCTCGCAGACGGGCGGGCGGCGGCCCCTCTGCCCCCAGCAGAGCAGCCTCCAAACAGAAAACAAGTCCCCCAGAGCCCCTCGGCCCGCCTGGCCGCCGCCCGCGCCCCACGCCCGCTCCGCTGGAGTCCCCGGCCCCGCCGCCCAGCCCAGCGCCCTGCCCGGCGGCCCGGCTTACCTCCGCGAAGCCGCCTGCCCTGGAGAGAGGGAAGCGCGGAGCCCGGTGAGCCGCGGGCGAAGCGGCGGAGCCCCCAGCCCCTGGCACGCACGCCGCCGCCGCGAGCCGGTCGCGCTCAGTGCCACCCGACCCCGGGGCGCCTGGGAAAAGCCCGCACCGCCGCGCCGCGCCGCCGCCGCACCGCACCGTGCCGCGCCAAGCAGCCCCGGCCCGCGCCCGTGCCCGCCCGCCCGCCCGCCCGCAGCTTCGGCGCCTGACTCCGGGGCGGTGGCGGTGGCGGCCACCGCGCTCCCTTCCCGGCGCGGGGGCCCCGGCTCTCAAGCCCCCATTGCTGCCCGGAGAGCCTTGACGCACACGCACACGGCAGCAGGCTGGCCTCGGCTAGGAATCCCAGGAAGGACAGACCCTTTTCCCCCTTTTTCTCTCTCCCCCCAATTTCCACGTCTTTATAACCGGCTTAGGGCATTATTAGCACATGTCCTGGCTCGTGGGCGAGTTGGTGGCAAAATCTGAACTGGATACTCACCGAGGGCCAGAGCGGGTGCCGTGCCTTCCTCAGCCCTCTTCCTCCTCGCCAGGGACGACCCCTCGCCGGCGGGCTGCGGGCGGGCAGCCGGGCGGAGCGGGCCTCCTCTCGGCAGCTCAGCGGTGCCCCTTCTGCAGCTGTGCCGCCGGGAACATTTTATAGCGGCGGCTGGCGTGTGTGGCCCTTTAAAGGCGCTCGAGCTGGTGCAGTCACGGCGGATCGTGTGAAAGCGAAGGGCCGGCCGGGGAACGGAGTCCGAGCGGCCCCGCGGGTCCGGCGGCGCCGGGGACCGGCCGCGGCTCCCGGGGTGGGGCTGGCGGGTCCAGGCCGTGGACTCCGCGAGCCCCGGGCCCCGGCCGACTCGTGGCGCTTCTAAAGCTGGCGGGAGCCCGGGCCCGGGACACGGTCTCTCCCTACCGCCCCGCATGGACTTGCCCAATAAATTCCACTTAGTAATTTCGCTGAGGTGAGGGAGAGCCGTGAGTGTCTGCTTTCTGACCTAAATCTAGCGGGTGGCCGGAGCGGGCTTCAGGGAGTTGGGGGAGAGCTGTGACCCGGAGGAGGGGGACGCACACGGGACGGGGCCGGCGGGGCAGGATTTGGGGTTTCTGCAGGGCTTTCTCAGAGCCCGTCTGCCCCCTTTGGGCTGCACCATCTCCCTTATCGAAGGGCCGAGGCTGGGGGTTTCTTTCCCCTTAAAGTCGCTGGATTCCGGGCAGAGCCTCATGGAGGGCCTGTCCGTCAGCGGTGGCTTCCCTGGAAGGCCTGAGCGGGGGGTGGGTTCGAGGGATTCTCTCTGGTGGTCATCCAGGGCGGAAGGAGGCTGGCGAGATGCGACGCGGAGATGTGCCGCCCTCCCGGACCGTGAGGCCAGGGGCAGCTCACGAGGCTCGCGAAAAGCCAAGAACAGGAGGCAGGGTCCGAGGAGCTTGCCCAGGGGGCTCGCGGGGATTCCTCCTGCCTTCCCACGATGCCAGGTTATTTTGTTGTGGTTATATAATCATTCTCATCTAGCCAGAATAACATTTTGCATTTGGAGCACACCTTTCTCGGGTTGGGATATTATCTTACAAATCTTTATGGGAAAGAGGTCTGCTTCTTCTCCTTCATCTCAGTTCCTGTTCCTTGTGGCCAACAAACTCCCATCTCACCCCTTACAGGAAGGCCACCAGGATTACTCCTCTACCAAACTCCCTTTTTTGGCCCCTTTCGGAAGAACTACTCAGTTTACACTGTTTATAAAACATGCTCTTTAAAAAAAGTCCTGATGTTAAGGAAAAGGGGTGGGGGATGTCATGAAGTCATTTTCACTATATATGTGTTCTGTCTTCCTAATTGGATTTGAAGACATAAAGGTCTTTTTTTTCTTTTTCTTCCTTTCGTTCTTTCATTCTTTCCTTTTTCCTTTTCCTTTTCTTTTTTTAGTATCTTCAAGTGCCCTGCATTTGCTCTTTGAACAAAGTTCTGTTTGTTGACGGGCTGACGGGCTTACTGACATAAACATGGAGAGCAAATGGAGGGACGGATCAAGGCCCTTCTTTGACACTTGGAGGAAGCTGGGGCGAATGCTCCGGACGCCAGGTAAATCCATTCCCCAGCGCCAAAAGCTGCCTTGAGCGTCGCCATTCCTTCCCCCCACCCTACTCCAACACAAACCCCGGTAACAACCACACGCCACACACCATGGCTGCACTTTCTCACTTTGCCCAAAGCCCGTGGGTCGTGCCCAGTTTCCCTCTGATAAAAGGCGGCATCAGTCGGGACCCTAAAACTGCACAGAGTTTGCACGTGAAATACACTCTCGAGCCATCTTGGTGTTTGCGGGAGATGAGCGACCCTAGGCTTTCATATTGTGTTGCTAATTTGGACCTCCGACCTTCCCTCCCTCTCCGCCCCCGCTCAGGAGCGGGTCTGGAAACGGCAGCATCTCCGCTGCAGGCTCCGGATCCGGGAGGTGGCGGATCCGCCCTCCATCTATTGGATGGCTCCCAGGCCAATTGTTAGAAAGAGGCATATGTTCATCTCGGCTTCTGGAGTGTCTCCGGAGCAGTTGCTCCACAGCCAGCCCCCTCCCCCATCCGGACCATTGAAGGGCAGAAAAAGGAGCGCCCTCCGCCACGTTTCTCTGTGCCCACATGCCAGAAAGGGTCTCCCCACTAGTGACTTCCTGTCGTCTCCACTGTACACCTCCTTGGGAGCAGGAAAGAGAGAGGCTTCAAGCACTCAGCTTTGGAGCACAAAAGCCACCCCTTTCCTTTTGGGGGAGATGAGAGAGGAGGTTAGTTGCAGAGGCAGAGAGAGCAAAGGAGACATTTGCATTTCTCTGCAAATATGCCCTGGATCACTGACTTCCCAGTTGGCTCCAGCCGAGCTCAGAGTTCTCCGCTGAACTCTTATCTCTAACTTCGTAACTAGACCGCGGGCTCACCAAGCAAGGAGGGAACAGGGGTGGTCACTCAGCAAGAACATTCTGTGCACCAGTATTGGGCCTGGCATGTTCCCATCCATCATCTCATTTAATTTCCACGACAGCCCTGTGCGGTAGGGTTTACCAAAGGTGAAATGGAGTCCCAGAGATTTGCCCAAGTTCACACAGCCAGGAGGCCTGGTGTTTGAATCCGGGTCAGGCTGACTGCAGTCCTTACTCTCACCCCTACACCTCGCTGCCTGGGAGGGTAAGGAGGCCCTCTAGACAGGTGGTCAAGCGTCGGGGTTCAGGGGTCAGTCCGCCTGCCTGTGTTTAAATCCCTACTTTGCCCTTTACTAGCTGTACGATCTTAGGCCAAGTGGCTCCATTCTTTGAGCCTCAGTTTTCTCATCTGTTAAACGGGGATAATAAGGGTAGCGGCTCTGGGGTTGTTGCAAGGATGGAAGGAGAAGCTTAGCCTGGTTGGTGCTGTTGTGTAGTAAGCGGTCAGCAAATGCTGTGATTGCGCCTTCTGGCTCTTTTCCTTTTGCCTCCCAGCCGTGCCTCAGCTCACATGCTTCAGGTTCAATAATACTTGCTGACTGATTAATTTAAAGACCGGGCTGAGAAGGGATGAAGGAGGTTTATAAACTCAGGAAGGGGAGGGAGAGGAAAATGCAGATTTGTTCTCAAAACCCCACCCTCCAGGACCAAGGGTTGCCTGAGCCATGTGACAGGAGTAAATTACAGACCAGTAAAAGATGATCACTTTTTACAGGACAGCCCACAAACATACAGAGTGGTCTCCAGAAACATATACTCAATATGTGTGTAGAAAAGTTAAAAAGCACAAAACTGTTCCAGAATGTTTGGAGCAGAACTGTTTATAATGGTGAAAACTGGAAAGCCATCGAAATGTCCATGGTAACAGAGTGTCCCTTGGTACCTCGACACTAAAAAAAATCCTGATCTCAAAAACTCTTTTATTCATGGGGAAATGTTCACAACAAAATATTAAATAAAAAAATGCTGGGTACAAAGTTGCATAAATATGATGCCAAGTTGCAAAGGGCACAAAGAGTAGAAAATTAAATACTCAGTATGTTTCCGAGCCCGTATGAATATGGGCAGTGAAGCGACCGTCAGGAAAACACCGAGCCAACAGCAGTGTCGGTAGGGTGGCAGGATTAGGAGTGATGTTTTTCTTCTTTTCTCCGTGTTATGCAATATGGTTATATTATTCTTATAACTAAATATGTTTGTAGTTAACTGCATAAACAGTATGCTCTCACTTTTGTTAAAGTTATATGTGCATAGGAAAAATATTGGAAGGAAATACACCAAAATTGTTAACAGTGGTTACAATTGAGGTAGTGGGATTATGGATGATATTTTTTTCCTTTATTTTTCTGCAATATGATTATATTATTTTCTTACAATTAAAACAGATTCATAATTTGAAAAATGCATAATCAGTACAATCCCACTTGCGTTAAAGGTATGTATGTAAATTGAAAAAAAGGGAAGAAAATATTTTAAAATATTAACAGTTTTTATATTAAGTGATAAAGGATTATGGGTAATTTCCCCTCATCTCTTGATTTTTCTGTAATATGATTTTTATTACTTTTATAATGAAAATAAAATGATACCTACGAATGGCATATATAGTAGGATCCCACTTTTGTTAAAAATGTATATATATGTGCATAGAATAAATCATAGACTACTCCAAAATGTGGTTGTCTCTGG